TTTTCCTTCCCTTCAGTTTTGGCATTAAATATAGTTATGCATTTTGCAAAGCATATACTTAGTGGAAGATAGCTTGTAATTTCCTAAAAAGTAATTCCTTCTCCAAAAAGTGTATGCATATCTGTGGTGTGTGTGGGGACCTATGTGTGTGTGTTAGTGACTTTCTTGTTAAGCCAAGAATCAGAGTCGCTCTTCATTATCCTGAAATAGCATAAAAGACAAGAATTCTGTGTGTCAATATTGGCGAGGGACCTTGAACTTGGAAAAGAAGCATATGTCTGGTTGATTTTTAAAGCAATATATTTTAAGTGGTATGTTTAAAAATTCAGGCCCATCAAATGCACAGAAAAGCAGTCAGTATCACCAAGTATGATACAAACTTTGTTCTTTTCTCCAGTCCACGTAAGAGGCCTGCTTCTGGAAAGGGAATACACATGAAAGTTTCTTCTTGATCTTACCTTCTCTGGATTGTCTAAAATCTCTCTTTATTTATGGTTTTATGAGAGCAAGAAACTCAGAAATATAGTTATACTGATAGGCAATTATTTTCCCCAGAATTAAAAAAAGAGGGAGCTCTGCAGATTCCTGGAGAAATCAGGGAAAGCAGGCCTTGTCTCCCACTATGACCATTGTTCTCGTAGCACCGCACATCACCTTCATCAACATGTGAAGTGAAACCTGTGTGAAGGCTCCATTTTCCTCAAAGGAAATGGGAGAAATACCTCCGCTTAAATTTCCCAAGCAAAGCCAGGTGTGATGCAGGAAATTGAAAGTTTAGCCCCAGCCTGCATAACTTAGCAACTTAGCAAGACCCTGTCTTAAAAAATGAAGAAAGGGCTGGGGTTGTAGCTCAGTGTGAAGGCCATGGGTTTAATTCCCAGTGCTTAAAAAAAATCTGAGCAGAAATGGTGATATTGGGCAGGGTTTTATGGTTGGGTTGGTTTGAGTTTCTAGGATTCAATATCTCAGGTACAGGAGACAAATGTCAGCAAAGGGACACCAAGTCTCTGTTCACTGCTGAAGAAACACAGCACAACTGGTGAAGAGACCCTCTTCTCCCCTGTGCATCTCTCGCCAGCTCCGCCAGGCTCCACAGGAAGTCTGAGCAGTACTGATACACCTAAGCCTTCAGCCAGAGACATCTGAAAACAGGCCGAATAGGGCTGGCCCATGAAATTGCTCAAGAAGACATGGTCTGATCACAGGCACACCTGACACCTACCATGAAGACCCAAACACCTGGGCCTTTCAAACACAGTTTGAGTATCCCTAACCCAAAAATCCAAAAGCCAAACTATCTGAGTTGCTGAAAAAGTCTTGGATGTTAGAATATTTCATGTTAGGGATACTTAACTCATAAAATCTGTGGAAATATCCAGAAATCTGTAAACTCCAAACTCTAAACTTCTGCTCCCAAGCATTTCAGGTATGGGATACTCCACCTGCACCATATGTCCCCTTGTCACATTCATAAGTGACCTGAAAGGGTAGACTTTGCTTTCTGTAGTATAGAAATCTGCCTGAGGAGCAGGTCTGCTGGCATGGGAAGGTTCCTAGTCAGGAGTTCCTGGGTTTAGGATACCTTGGATAAACTTCATGGGTCTGTAATAAATTCCCTAAAGCCCATAGTGTACATATCTTATGTGTGCTGCTGTGTATATCTGTGTGGAACAGGCTTAGTGGAGGTTACTGATTTATTTTAATGGGTTTATGTGCCATGGAGAAGGCGCATGGCTCTGAAGCAGTAACTTCTCCAGAAAGAATCAAAGTCACCATACCAAGAATTTTTACCAACAGCTTCTCTGGAGCAACCTCATTCTCTCCAGTCTAGAGAGCTTTTGTAAATGTTACCTTTATTTTGTACATTTTTTTAAAAATTCAAAAGGTTTTTGAAAAAAATTAATGTGGAAAAATGTACTGGACACACTAGAAAATTAAACCAAAGGCATCATGTAACTTACAGTATTCTGGTGCACATTTACACTTCCAGTGTTTAAATTAACCTAGTCCGATTGCTAGGCTGAAAGTGACAAATTCCCACTATCATCCGTGTGTTTTATCTCCAGCAGTTGTTTTTAACTAGGGAGCAATTTTGCTGCCTGAGGGATAGCTGGCTGTTGGTGGAGATACTTTGGGTCATGTGTTTCATATGAGGGGTGCCGTTGGCCAGGGATGCTGCTAAAAATCCTTCACATCAAAGATGTACCCAGCCCAACATGTCACTCATGCCAAGACTCAGAAACCCCAGTCCAGACCTTGATGACTGGCTCTGTCACAACCTTCAAATAAGGTGAATCCATCCATACTCAAGATCCCCAACAGCCATCAAAATAACTTCTAGCTCACATTCTGCCATGTTCCTTAGCTAACCTGCCTCCTCTCCTGGTGAACCTTGTTTATTCTCTATCTTGCCATGTGGCTCCAAACCCACCACTGCACCCACTTTTTGAAAAGCGCCCTTACTGTCAACTGTCATTCTGGATCTCCCAACACAACGGTTTGGGTGGTCTTGTTATCGCTGATTCGTTTGCTTTTCCAGCTCTTCTGGGCTTAGGGTCCTGGGTTCCAAATCCTAGCTCTCTAGTTCAACAGACTGGAACTTGAGGCCCCTCCTAATCAGTGGCTATAGAATCTCAGGCAAGATATTTATTTCTCTGAACTATGATTTTCTTTTCTATATAAAGAAATGCCAGCCTCAACGGTCCTGCCCCAAAACTCCTTCTCCTCCTCAAGGGAATAGCTATCATTGTATTAACATCTTGGTTATAAGTCCCTAATAACTGGTTCAGATCCTGCCCTCCATTCATAAGGCTTGTGTGAGAACATATGTAAGCCATATATTCTCAACTTGTCCTTAGTACTCAACAGGGCACTTAAGGGAGGTCACTAGCCAAACAATGACAGCAGAAGTCACATGTGTCCAGGAGAGGCACTCATTATCAACAGGTGCTGAAATTAGAAAAAAAGTTCAAAACACTTGGAATTGGATTTAGTATGGTTATATAATAAAACATGAAATCTTTTACTTTCAGTTACAATCTAGAAATTGTTAAACAAAGAATGATCACAAATGTTTACCAGAGTTCAAAGTATCTCTCACAGACAATGCACAACCTAATACCACATGCTCTGGTGAACCACATGTAACCAAGCTCAAATGTCAAGGTGGGACATTAGTCATGTACAAGTGTTAAGCTACTCATGACCTTGAACCTATGCACCTGTTATATGTAAAATATTTAAGAAAAGATTGTGTATCTCTTAAATTAGCCACAATCTCCCATTAAAGTAAACAAATTACCGGCTCCATCCCCTGAGATTCTAATTCAATGGTCTCGAGGGGTTGGAGACTTTTGTAGTTTGAAACATTCCCACTGCTCAAAGCCCTCCCTGAACTCCCTAACACATAATACATGCTCTCCACATGTGGATATACCCAGCTGCCTATCCACCGCCCCCCAGGAGAGGGGGACATAAATGGAATAAACATGGGGAATTGGTGGAAATTTTCACTTTCCCCATTGACAAACACTAATTACAAACTGTGACTTGAAGAGTAAAGCCATAAAATTTCATTCTTGACTGTAGAGTCTGTAAGGAAACGTGCTCTTCTCTGGGAAATGCCCTTTCTCTTCACCTCTATTCATAGGAAAGTCTCATTTTCATGTGGGTCCTCCTCTACTCTGCACTGGCTAAAGAAATAAGGTATAATAATGGCTGTGTTGCTGCATAGAAAACTCAAGCAACCGGTAAATCCCATTTTAAACAGTTCATCTACCTTAAATATTTATTAGGCACTGGGTTGCTATTGGAGTTAAAAGTGGACTGATATATAAGGTAAATAAACCAAAACTGCCCAGGGCATTGCTACTCTAAAAACAGTCATGTGCTATGAGGCACTGAGCCTTCATGTTGCACCTGCAGGCTGCTTTGTGTGCATTCTTAGTTCACCCCTTTCTTAGGAGGGAAGAAATATTATCATCATTATCATCATTGTGTTCTCAAGTGACATATACAGAGCCAGCCATTTGACACAAATAGACCAATAAACAAACAAGTCCTACAGCTACCTGGCTATTCTCCAGTGCATTGAGTTTGTGTTGGGGAGGAATAAAGCTCCATCTCTGTGACACAAAGTCAACACATGACAAGGGATAATGTAGCAATGATAATAATTGATGATAATGATGGCAGTGATGATGGTGATGATGGTGATGATGGTGATGATGATGGTAGCATTCTACAAGTTTGCTCTGTGTGAATGGCAGTCTAGTTTTAGAAGAAAACCAAGTGTCAGAAAGTCTGAATGAGTCACCCAAGGCTCCATCACCAGTGTCAGCATTGATGTGAACCCCTGATTTTCTTATATGGTGCTTTCCAAATACCTGATACTTGAGAGTCGTGGTGGATGAACTCACCCACAGTAGCCACAGCCCCTCCTAGACTCCGACCCTCCTGAACTTAGATGTCATGGCTGCAGATGAAAAGTCTCTTGTCCTCATCTTTCAGCTCAACATGAGGATGCTCTGCTTCCTTAGATATCTTTCTGAAGTTTCCAGAAGGAAGACAGCAAAGCTCCCAGGAGCGTCTTTGGCCTCTTGAACTCGGGAATCCCTAACACTATGGTAGGAAATTTGCAAAGTTTTCCAGAAGCAGAGTTCACTCGGCTACTCTCACCAAGGATGTCTGCTGTTACACCAAACCCACCTCCTGCAGACAGAGAGAAGCCAGGGGCCACAGCTATTAACCTGAGCTCTAATTAGGGTGGTTTCATAATGAGGAAGAGACTGTGATTCTAATTAGTAATTTTCCATCTTTTTCTCAGTAGGTATTCCCTAGTCAAAGCAATATGCTCTCCTCTCACACTGGTCACATTGCCAAAACATAAATGCAATATGGAGCTTCAGTGGAAATGAAAATGGCTAAGAAGCCAGGGAAGCAGAACAAGGTTTATTTGCCGCTTATGTTCTGTGTTATTTGCCCCCTTGCCTGTTTCTCAGGTCCGAGGAGCTGCAATGGTTGGTTCTGACATGGTTGTCACTGTAGAGTTTACCAATCCCTTAAAAGAAACTCTACAAAACGTCTGGATATACCTAGATGGTCCTGGTCTATTAAAACCCAAAAGGAAAATGTTCCGGTAAGTGAAATGAAATCCAGGGGGAAAATGTCCAAGAAGCTGCAACTTCTTGTGGACTGTATTCGTGGGGCATGGGGTAAAAATGGGGTTGGTTCAACCAGCACTTGAATCCTTAAACCCATCCCCATGAGACAGATAACAATTGGCATCTCCTTTCCATAGCTGAGAAATTTAGGATTTCAGAGGGCAGTTGGTTTGTTCTCCATGTTACACAGTTTACAAAGGTAGAACTAAAATTCAGACATGAGGTTGCTAATTCCTCAACCCAAGTTTCAGTCACTTTCATACACGACCTTCTCATGTATCAACTCTCCAGTGTCCTTGACCTCGATGTGTCTGTGCAGTGTTGGAGATGATGCTCAAAGAAACCCTTTAAATAGGCTCTCTCTTCCCAGCTTTACCTCTTGGATTTTGCCAACCAATCGCTGTCTGCAACTGTTGCTTTTATTTTCTATTCTTTACTTGAGCCTGGAAGGTCCCAGAACTTGTTTCCATTGAAGCCTTGTAGTATTAGGAATGTCCTCAGCCTCTTCCAAACCTAGCACCATCAGATTATGCCCTCCAGGTCTATTTCTGTGATGTCTGTTGACAAAGACTACTGTCCAACAGGAGAGCCCAAATCCATGGTCAGGTAGCTGTAATTGTAGGAAAACAGATCTTCTTTATATTTTTATCCTAGTGGTGAACCTAATTTTGTTATCTGAATTGGCACAAAATAAAGCCCATCTGTCTTCTGCCTGATGGCTTGAAAATGTTTGCAGACAGCTGTGTCATCTTCCTTGAGTCTTCCCTACTTGGGACCAAATTCCTGCCCCAGCTTCGTCTTTCTCGCCTCTAATGCGATGTCACTCCCTCTCTCTCCCACACACTCCAGTTTTTCAGAGCCCGCTCAAAGTGTGACATCCAGAATGGAGCCCAATCTTTGAGGCTTATTACTTTCATTCCTACTACAAATAAGTCCCTGTCAGCATCAATCAACCCAGCTCATTTCCTGTGGGGTGACCTTCTATGGTACAGGAAAGGAAGTGGAGGGCTTTGGAAACTGCTTTATGGCCAGTCATGTAGGGACTGCTCCAATGCCCCTTATAGAAATGAGCTGTAGGACAAGTGTAAGACCTCACCCTCTCTAGGTCAGCTGTATTCCCCACAGAGGACTGCATTTCTTCCAAACTATAGGACTCACAACTTCTGTGTCCTGTCACCTAGGGGACACCTTATTGCAGATGAAATATGCAGCAGAGAAAATAATTTAAGTGTTTTTCTTAGAATGCATGCACAAGACATTGCTGTGCTAATAGGAATGCTGCAGAAAAATAAGAATTGAGTTAGAAATCAACCCCAGCTAGAGGAAGAGGTCAGTAACAATAGCCCAGCTTTTGTCAGAAACGACAGCCTCACACACCCATTCTCACAGCCTCCCACTCAAATCAGATGCAAGGAATGCTAAGGCGAAGTGAAGCACGCTTCTTCTCCCAAACAGCCCTGCAGTATACAATTTATCCTTCTGAAACAGCAGCCCCACGAGCTGTGTCTGAGGGTACCAGGACCTCACGCTGCCTTTGCTGTGCCAGGAATCCCACCTTGATCAAGGCCAGCACAACTGTTGAGGTTTGGGTGAGCGTCTCCACAGGTCTGTCTGTGAAAACTCGGCAACACTTGGAGCTGCTGCGCACTGTGGATGTCCGCTTGAAGGGGATTATGGTGCTCTCTTTCTCTCTCTCTCTTCCCTCTCCCCACCGCCCAGTGTAGGACTCAGATAGGATCAGTCTCAAGCTGCTTTGCTCATTGTTAATGTCTGACATCGGGTTGTCAAAGCAGAGTGAAGCAGGGAAAGAATGGGTAAAGCCGGTCCCTACATGGACACAAAGAACACATCCTTCCCGACTGCCAGCAGTGCTACTAGTACTTACTGCCAACGCACAGGTCTGTGGCAGATAGGTGCACGACAGGAAGCTAGGTGCTCTGTCTTCATTGCGGGCTGCTACAGTAGAAACACCATAGATGGGGTACTTTTAAACTCCAGTCTTTATTACTCACAGTTCTGGAACTTGGGAAGCCCAAGGTCAAGGACCCACCCACGCGGCTCCTCATAAGGACTCTCTTCATGGCTTATGGACTGTCATCTCCTCCCCGTGTCCTCACACGATAGACTGAGGTAGTAAGCAAGCCTTCTGGTGTCTGTGTCTAAGGACACTAATTGCACTGCAAGGACCCCACCCTTATGACGTGATCTAAGTTAATGACCTTTCAAAACTCCTTCTCTAGACACCATCACACTGTGGGGCAGGGATTCAACACAGGAATTTTTTTAATAGCAAAACATTTTGTACATTTTAGGCGTACACTCTGATAACACTCATTGGGGGAACTGAACTGACATTTGTACATGGTACCTCCCATCTCTTTCCCCACCCCCTCCCTGCAAACCCCCTCCCCTCCCCTATGCACAAAACTTTTGTTCATTTTTCCTTCCTTCTCTAGACACCATCACACTGTGGGGCAGGGATTCAACACAGGAATTTTTTTAATAGCAAAACATTTTGTACATTTTAGGCGTACACTCTGATAACACTCATTGGGGGAACTGAACTGACATTTGTACATGGTACCTCCCATCTCTTTCCCCACCCCCTCCCTGCAAACCCCCTCCCCTCCCCTATGTACAAAACTTTTGTTTCCATTTTTCCTTCAGTTTTCTCTTCGTTTTCTTGTTCCTTCCTTCCTTTCTCCCTCCCTCTTCCTTTGTCCCCCTTCACATCTGAACATTTTTCTTCCCATTTCCCAATACCTATTATCCTTATTTCCACTTTCAGTTTCTCACATCAGAGAGTATTTTGGGAAGACACAAATGTTCAATAGATAGTAGTCCTCGATGTCTTGTGCGAACTCACATCTAGGGTGGAATCTCCTCCAGGCAAGGGAAACTGTATTTTTCAGATATAATCTGAAACTGGTGGTGGGAAGGGGGCAGTGTGACATAAAAACATTTGTTATCTGGGCGGGCTTGGGGCTTTGGAGCAAGCACCTTTCTCTTGTTTCCTCCCAACTCTGGCACACAGCAGAGCCCCGAGCCAACCAGAGCCCACTTCCATATGGTCAGGTAATTGGAAGCATTTCACTTTTTATTCTGTGTTGCTGAGATCTGATTTGAAAGTGCCAGATCCATGGACTTCCAGAAAGAGCAATTGCATAGACCCAAAATCCTTTATAAGACTGGTGGACACATATCTTAGTCAGGGAATTACCAGCCCCATCCTTCCACTCATGCCTTTTGCCAGAGTGAAATCTAAAAGGTAGGGGGTCTCAAGCCTAGTGTAGAGGACCTGAAAGGCAGGATCTGGTGAGCAGGGAATTGGAAACAGGAACAAAGAAGGGAATGCTGTGTTTCAGTCGCTGCTCAGGACGTAAACTAGCTCTACCCTGGGATGGTTGACCTCCTTGCTCTTCCCCTCAGGGCCTCCCACCTGCCCCAGATGCTCAGAGTTTCTGTTCCCACAGACCATTGGCTTTTGCCTTTCTTCACTTGGTACTTTCAGAACATCAAATAATTCATCTTCCAGATTCATTTTTCTTTTTTAAAAAAATGATCAGGTTCTGGGAGTTATTTCAAGAAAAAAAAATGGCACCAACTTTATGGTTTGTGCATATACTTTAAGCTTCTCAAGGAGGGCAGAAGCTAAGAGCTGGACACACAGAGGACAAGCCATGGGTAGTTGCAGGTATTACAATGATAATCCCATTTGACTGCGAGGATAAATGGCCACTGTGTCCTGACGGCTCAGCACATTACTGAGGACCATTTCTCACAGCATCCACCCCCAGGAAATAAGATCGTTCCCAAATTATGCCACTTACCACACTGAGCAAATGATTTCTCCCTCTCTTTCTAGTGTATATTTATCTGTCGGCAAAACAGAAAGCATGTGTATCTTAGCGTCTGCATATGTTCTCCTGTTCACACCATTATGCAGCTGGCTTTATGAGCAAGCATAATGATAAGGTTTCCATTTGCATTTCTAAGACTGCGTCTCTGTGTGAGGTGGCCACCTACATCACAGCCCAGGACAGGTCACTGAGCAGGACAACTGTCTCACAATGAGTCTGACGGATCACGTGGGAAACCAGAGGGAGAGAATGAATGAATCTGGCTGAAAGGAGCACATTCTTTAAACTGATACTCATATTGAATCAATCCCTGTAAATTAAGGACAAAGGATTGTCTTTCTACATAGAGGCAGGAGGAAATTCTCTAAGTTATTTTGCTGAGAGTGTAGGCAGAGAAAGCAATCACCACCAAGGGGGAAGTGAAAGTGGTAATAATGAGAACAGCAACAAGGTTTTCACATTTCTTGGCACTTGCTGTGGTCCTAAGTACAAATATTAACTCACCTGTCCTTCTTCTCACCCTGTGCAATAGATGCCCTCCTTTCATAGGTGAGGAAAACAATGGCAAGGTTAATGTTTTTCCAACTTTGAGTCATAAAGTGAATTTACATGGTTTGAAAAAATATACACATTTTAAAGGTATATATAATGTGGTTTTTATTTAACTGAGTAAAATAATTTATAAACCACATTTACAAAGAACCAAGCTAAGAAAAGCCACTAAGAAATATCAAATTAATCTAGACATTTTAGATTGTCAATGTCAATGTCATGGAAAGATCTCTGCAGAGCAATAGATTCTGTTTCCAATTCACTGGCCACAGAGAGAAGAAGAAGGGAATTTCTCATTTAGAGGATAGAGTTCTAAGATTTTTATCCCACTGCAGCTAGAAAGAACATTATTTTATCGACACTAGAAGTAGTCCTGGGTTTCTAACTTTACAAAGGAGAGATTGAGTGTAGGTCTGTGACCTCATATTTTCCCCACCTTTTATCTCTGTTTAAAGCAATGCTGTGTGGCCTCGGCCCCCCAAGGCAAAAGAGGGCTCAGGGGCTGAAACCCCTTCATCACTCCAGACTTTGACAGTTCTGCCTTCTTAGCAGCTCCTGCCACTGCCATCCCAGTGCAAAGCTGGTGTTGTCCACTAGTTCATTCCATGGTATCTAGGAGGAAAAGCCTTACCCAGGCTGAGCCCAGAATTTCTTGATACATGTTCCTCTCCTCAGAGCACAGGTCCCCTCTTCAAGTTCCCCAGCATGTCTTGGAGACATTTCCACTACCCCATTCTGACCCCAGTCCTTCCCACAGGACTAGGAACTACAAAGCATGAAGATACTCAAAATCAGGTGGTAGCAGGCAGGGTCATGGTCCAGATGTTGGAGCTGGAAACAAGGTCAGTAGGGGTTGGTAACAGCTGCTTAGAATGGGGGCCTCAGCAAAAGCAGCATGAGGATTCAGGTCAGACTCAAATGCCAGGAGGGAGCTAGAGGCAAAAGATCATTCATGTAGACAAGCATACTGTGGAGGGCTTGGCTCAACCTAGAGTTTGGTTGGCTCATAGCTGGAGGGGATTGAGCCCCGCTCTTCAGATCTTCTGGAAGGGCAGCAGATGCATCCAGGTAGAAAGCACCATGGCCAGGGAGACTGTTAGTGATGCACTCTGCAGCGCCTCCTACAAGGCCCTGTTTGGTTACTAATTGCTGAATAAGGCAACAAAGCTCTTCAGTCCAACCAAGAGAAAAAGTGCGAGTAGCCCAGGCAGGGATCTTCCATGCTTTCTGATGCAGTGGGATGGGCCAACTTCTCCTCTCTTTTCCATCCTTTCAGTGAAATTCATTCCAACTCCACCGTGCAATGGGAAGAAGTGTGTCGGCCTTGGGTCTCTGGCCCTCGGAAGTTGATAGCCAGCATGACCAGTGATTCCTTGAGACACGTGTATGGTGAGCTGGACTTGGAGATTCAAAGACGGCCTTCTGCGTAAAGACACAGGAGACTGAGACAGACCCGGGCACTTGGCCTCTTGTAGTGTTGGCTGAGGAAATTCTAATGTAAAAATTGTTAGCTTGTTGCTTTAACTGGATGAAGACCCAGATGGAGTGGGGAGGGCCCCAGAGCACGGATACCATGCATTTCCAAAGTACTTCCAAATCCAGACTATCCAGTGTGGAAGTTAGTTTTGCATCACTCCACCTTCCAAAGGATTCTGAGAATTGGCTTTAATTAAGTTCTAATTAAGCTCTCATTGCTCATAAGAGTAAAAGTCATCATTTTTCATTGCAAATGGCTGCTACCCCAAATATGACAGAGGGCTTCCCTTAGCAAGGGCATATGCTCCATACCTGGCCTCATGTAAAACTTCTTATTCCCTGCTCAGCCTTTTGGGGGTAACATATCCCCCTGAAGGGACAAGAGTATATGATTTTGTCTTCAGAATTCTATTCCCCTTTCTTGGAAGCAGGTTCCTCCCTCCTCCCTCCATGTTAGAATATTTGTCCCAGGAATTGAAGACATCATTTTTCTTCTTGGCAAAGCCGGGGAAAGGTTGTTCATCTTGCACCTGCAGCCTAGCAGCTTCCTGCCAAATTCCACAGCTTCACCTTGTAAGAAGATGCAGCCTCATATGAACAAATTGCATTTGTGGGAAACTTAATCACTTAGGAGGAGAAAAGAAAGCAGGTGCAATACTCAGATCTACTAAATAATGGAGTTTTTATGGTGTATTTTATAGGTGTCACACAGTGGCTTGATCAGCAGGAATCAATATTCTTGACTTTAACCCTTTCTGGGGTGCAGGAATGGAAAGTGATGAGGCTCATTTGGGATGGGAAGCATGAGAAATTAGTCACCTTAATTAGTGGGTACCCTTCCTCTGCGTCTCTGGAATCATCTCCTTTGCTCAGTGACACCAGTGCAGGTCTCTTTTACAGCTAGAATAAGCCTGACAGGTTGGAAAAGCTGGCAGACTTAGTGACCGGACTTGTAGACAAGGAAGCAGCTGCCTATTCCCTCTGTGCCTTCATATTGCCTAAAAAGAGCCTGCACCTTGACCTGCAGGTGCCGAAAGGTACCATGGACCCAGCCTTGCCAATAGCCAGTGCTAGTTCTGACCCAGGAACAAATGATGCCCTGGGCCTTTGTGTTATGCTCTAAGGCTCCAACAGGCAAAGCTACCGGTGTTTATGTGTAAGGTGGATATATGGTCAGAATTTCCCATTGAGAAGCCTAGGTGTGATTCGGTCAGTAGACTATGACTGACAAAAACACAGTGGGAAAGAGGTTGGGGGAGTCAGGATGAATGCTCCAGTCTATGTAGCTGCATTTCTAAGCCTTTGAGACTTTTGCCGCACCTTCAGTGCTAACCCAGGAGAGTTAATGAGTCCCCTCTATCAGCACATCACAGTGATACAGATCTCTCAGCATGCGCCAAGCTTTTCAATACCACATTTTAAAATGAGATGTATTTTACTAGGCCGTTAAACTGCTTAGCTTAATATGTTATTAATGAGAATGTGATAAACGCTTAAAATAAAGTTAATCCGATTACATTTGCATCTGCATGGGAGTAAATGCTGTTGATTTTCAGAGCATCACACAGCCAACCACAGTGCTTGAGAAACCATTCTCTTGGCAGTGAGCAACCCACCCTGGATAGGAAGATGGACCTGTGTCCTTTAAGGAAAAATAATACTGATGAGTACTGATGTCATCATTAGCTTTCCTCAACTCCTGTCTGCATTTTATTAACTATATTTACTGGAGGAAGCAATTTGCATATTTAGCATAAAAACCAGCTTCCAGACACCAAAACATCTCCAAGAACATTTTCCCAAGAAGGACCGGGTGACCCGTCAGGGTGAATCAGGGCACTGGAGAGCCAGCGGGGGAAGGATCAACATGAACACCTGCTGTGGACTTACAGCAGGGAGGGAAAACATGTAGCCAGGGCACATAGGAGACCCTGTGTCCATGGCAGACCTCGCCGAGTAATAACAACCCAGACAAAGCCTCAGAGCCCTCCCAGCTCCGCGGAGCAACCACCGACTGACTTGGAGTCGGTTTGGCCCTGAACTTAGGACGGGTACATTGCTATTAACGACAGTGTGATAGATGAGTCCAATAAAGTTACTGGTATTATGGTTGCTTCTGCACGGGAGTGAACTCTGGCTGTTACCTGATTCGGCACACACGTCCTATCTGCCTTACATAGACCTTTTCCCTGCGACAGCTGTGATTCTTCAGTGTACGCTGATGCGGCTGCACTCTGGATCTGGAGCCGTCCCCCTGACGTCCCCTGCACGGCACTACCGGGAGGGCCCTGAGGAGGAGGGGCCCCGTACCTGGTCATCCAGTTACGGGAGCGAAGCCCCCGAAGACAATGACGACGTTTTCACTTCTTGGCCACGAGGATAGTGGTCTCACTCTGTCCTGTGCCCCGCACGGCATACTGCCACGGGCTCAGAAGTACTGAGTTCAGTCAGCCAAGGGCTGACACCTCCAAAACACGAGCCAAAAAAAACCTTTTCTCTTTACAGATTGATTATCTCCAGTATTTGTTCCAGTAACAGAAAGCTGACTTTACATGCCTTGGCTTTAAAAATGATATTTTAGTAATGGTGCTAAGAAGTAAGCCCCAGCTAGCAGCAGAGATGGTGAGTTCTAGTGTCTGCCTCTGCTAAGTGCTTATTGAACGCATCCATATTTGTGTTTGGAGCTTCACGTAAAAAGAGAAGTAACAATACTCGTTTCCACGAGCTTCTCCCAGGGAATTTATAAAGTCGATCTTTAAACAGCACATGCAAAACAGACAGATACATAGACAGACAGATACTGTATCTTTTCCAATAACCTCACCTCATCAACTTTGTGAAAGAAGTACCCGTAAGTGCTTAACGAAGAACCCAATAAGGGCTAGGAAGCCTCATATCATTGGAAATCAAACCAGGGTGGGAGTGTGTAGTAAAAGCAAACTCTCTTTTTAGAGTAGCATTTGTCATATGCTCTTTAATCTCGTCTCCTTGAAGTTTTAGGAATGCTGACTTAAGACCAACTCAAAAATCTTTGAAGAGCTGCAGAATAATAACAAATAAAAATGTGTACCTGTTTATTAGAAGGATGTGGGGAAATGGACTCAACACTAGACTCCTTGGCAATCAAAAATCACAAAACCCCAGGCAGAAGGTCATTTTTAAATTAACATTCCTCCTGTGTTACTATAAACCATTCATCCATTCAGTTTTCTGCCATTCAGCCATCCCCGCTCCTCTTCAGCCAAACATCCAGTGTTCCCGTTGTCTACCCATCCTTTTTTCTAACCATCCATCCATGCGTGCTTCAGGCATCATTCTTGAGCTTGTGGATTTGGTTGTGAAAAGTCCATGGCCCCTTCCCAGAAGCAGGAGAGAATGAAGATGTAGAAGCAGATAAAGCACATTATGATAGGCACGATAATAGGGGCGTGCCCAGAGCACTGAGGACACCTAGAAAACTCTTCTCCTGTGTCTCCAAGAACAAATGAGGAAAGGGCTAAATTGAGCCTTGAGTGAAGAAGAGAGGATGAGCTGGAGACTGATAGGGAAGAATTTGCGTATGACCTAGGAGGAAGAGTAAGTTTGGCCCCAGTTAGCTTGGTGAGGAGGTGAGTGTGCAGCCGGCAGAGGTGGGGCCAGAAACAAAGGTACTGGCTGGAATTGCAAAGTTCTCAGAGTCCCAATTTGTTATTTCTGAGCTCTATTGCAAAGTACAGCTGGTAGAGGGTCTAAGCAAGGAATTGGGTAGAGAACTAAAAACTATGAGTGGATCAAGGAGGAACAGGGCCTAGAGAGATGAAGTGGAAGGCCCAACTCAAGTGAGGGCGGTGTGAGGCTTGGGGTGTAGCCACAGTGGGGTTCAGTAATGGAAATGAGATGCTCCAGGGCCCAAGTGGGAAACGTACAAGTGAGACAGTCCAAGTCAAACACGGATGAAAGTATGTGACGCACAAGCTCTAGCAGCTAAAATTGGGGCAGCCAAGTAATCACTGTGGCCAGGGACCACTGAGGACTCAGTATATTGTGCCTAAGGTTATGGTCACTTCTACCTACAAGTAATGGTCTCCAACTTGGAGCCTCCAAGACCCCCAAACACTTCTGGAGACAAATGTGTCTTATTCTCAGCACCTTAACACATTCACACTTAGTTTTACTTTTGTGAGCCCCTACATAAGAATAAAAGCATACCCAAAACAGAAATGTTAATGGATCTGCAAGAAATTATTTTATAAAGATGCAGCCGGGTATGGTGGTACATGCCTGTAATCCCAGCACTTGGGAGGCAGAGGCAGGAGGATCACTGCAAGTTTGAGTCCAGCCTGAGTGACACAGCAAGATCCTGTCTCAAAAAATCAAATAAATCAATCAATATTTTAAAAATTAAAAAGTTGCATTAGGAAAAGAAACAAGAAAATGACTCTTACCTCAACTTCCAAGAATTAATCTAAGCCTTTTCTAGCTCTCAAGACAATGGTCATTTTTAAAAGATGCTCAGTAAACTTTCTGCCGATACAATTTACAGACTCCCATTAATTTTTATGGTAATCACCATTTTAAGACTTAAGTGATTATCTAAGCAATGTTTCATCAGCCTGAAACTAACATAAGGCATCCTGATGAGTATTTTCTAATAGTAAACTGAATCCCTAAACTCAAAGAGGGTTCTTTTCTCTCTGATTTGAGCAAATTTAGACAGTGGGGAAGAATAGCATGAAAAAAATTAGTCAGATTGAGAAGGTGTTATCTCAATGAGGCAGATTTGAAATGATTATGAAACTGTGACTCCTTCTACTGAGAGATGAGCCTGTAATCCCTTTCCTCCTCTTGATTCTGGGCAGCTCCATGGCTGCTTTGATCTATGGGATATGATGTAAACAATCCTGCCTATTCTAAGGCCCCCATGTTGGGAAAATGGCAGCTTCTACTTTGTATCTCTGGAGCTTCTCTTTATGAAAGCCTCCAGCTTCTGGGTAAAAGCATCACTGGTCTCAGATGGCCATTCTGGAAAAGCCCACATGGGGTCCAACCACATTAGCTAAGCTCAGCCTTCCACCTCCACTGCCAAAGTACCAGACGCAGTGATGAAGCCACCTAGTGCCCTCCAGACCAGAACTCCCACAGCGGCATCCACTAAGGAACCTCATTTGATGCCACTTTAGACAGAAAGCCATCCTAGAAAGACATGCACAGATTCCTACTCCTCCATCAAATGATGAGAAATAATAGCTGTTTTAAGTCACCAGATTTGACACATTCTGTAGTGCAGTAAGACATCTGCACAACATATAAACCTAACAACCTTAGGAAATGAGATAATGCTTTTTTTTTTTTTTTTTTTTTTTTTTGGCTCTAAGTAAATGCTCGATGCTTGGGACTTCGTCTCTTCTTTCTGAAGAATACATATTGATAGATGTGTATTTCCTTGTTCCTCAGTAGCCTCCATCTATTTTGAGAAACCAAATTTTCCAAGTGTAATAGTGTCAATAATACCAGTTCCTTATAACTCTTTCTGTTCATCTATGGCTTTCTGGCTTTCTGCCACCCTCATCTCTGGCAAGATTTGGTGCTATGCCTTGAGGGACAAACTGAAGAGGAGAGAGAGGCACAATCACAAGAGATGACAGCCCTCCTTCCCCAAAGCCTAGGAAAGGGGACCTTCAGACTTCTACCGCCCAGTGAATCCTGCAACCCAGCTCCAGCAGGAGTGAAGCGACCCACGGGCCAGCCAGTCCAGTGGTACAGCCACATTCCATTCTGTTTCTCCTGGAATATTCAAAAATGTCTGGACACAGATTAAACTGCTTTAGCTCTAACCTTGTGAAACAGAATAAAGTGACTTATTTTTAACATTAGTTACACATGCCGAATGTCATTTATCCAAAATGCTTGGAACTTTCCCAGAAGTATGTCAAATTTCAGACTTTGTCAGATTTGGGAATATTCCTATTTATCTAAAAAGGTATCCGAGGGATAGAACCCAAGGCTACACATAAAATTCA